AGCCCTTTTCTTTACCATTTGGTCTAATGGTTCGACCATGGTCGATCCCTTTCCATTGGGAAGAGAAGATTTTCCTGGACTTCCAATGTTTCCATTGTCAATATCCATGGAAGTTTGGGAAGTAGATCTTCCAATCATATTTGCATTAGCAGTGCGCCAAATCATTTCTGATTCAGCAACAATTAGCAAATAGGTAAGATCGATAAGGGTCACGTTGTGCCTTGTCATATAGTAATCTTTAACGAACTCACTATATGACTTAGGAAGTGAATGAAGAACCAAGTCAACAGTCAGCTTCCTTGGGAACACGACACCCAACATTCCCAGCCTGTCAATATGCAGCTTCATGTCCAATACGTGAGCACATACAGACTTTCCATCTTCATGTTTGTTTGCCAATAGGGCCTGAGTGACCTAGAACTTTTCAAGTCGGCGAACATGTGGGCCAGGGAGAATAACTGGAGGAGGTGGAGGAAGAGAAGTTCCACTACACCACGAAAAAGAGATTAGTCTTTCACCTCGCTCGTCTTGTGGAATATCATCTTTATAAGGAAAGCTTTTTCCAAAAGGATAAGGTAGACCATAGTTGTCAGAACTAGACATCTACAAAGGGATAAATTCAAGTTAGTTGATTTATGTCCTTAATATAACACCCAAATGAAATATTAAGGCTAGGACCCAACACAATATTCTACAATTCGGAAGAGGGATGACGTAATCCAATTGTAAAATATTTGAAGGTAGGTAAATGACGATTTACCAATTTCCACCATGAAAAACGAAAATGAACATTAGGTTTTAAATGAATTGAAATTCCTAGATTCTTTTGAGATTCATTGAACTTTTCAATGGCATGTTTAATCTCGATTATTCCCGTCAAGTTTGTGACTGGGATACTGAGGATCACAAACAAGCTGTGAATAACCATGCAAATTAGCTTGATACTCTCGATGTCAATAACCACCTAATCAATGTGCCGGTTAACCACACACGCTCCATTGATCAATCATAATTTACGAGAAACCCATCGTCATCCTTCATTAGTCCACATTAGTGTGTCAGTTAACCACACACGCTCCACTAACTGACCAATAAGGTGCAATGTGCAATTTAATGGATTAGCACCAAATTCACATTTTTCTTAAAGTAGCTAAGATTGGGAATTTATAAAGGTTTAGTTACTTTATATATCATTATACTTTTATTGAGGATTTAAATGTCCTGTCAAACCCGTTCGGCTAACGACCCTCCACTAGTCAAGGATGCGCTGGGTAAGGATGGATACCCAATGACGGTCATTTTACAGGTCGCTTCCTTAAACACCCCTTATAGACCAGCTTCGTGAATGATGCCTACTAACGGTAAAACTGACTTTTTTAACTTATACATATATAATATATTAGACTTTTAATGTTATATAGTATAAGGGTGTAGTTTATACATTTAAAATACTAGGTGGTTTAATCTATTAATAAATTAAACTTTTAATTTAATTAACTTTAAACCCTATGATTATGGATTTATTAACTTTCTCTTTTAATTAAACATTTAATCAATTTAATAAAGTCCATAAGAGTGTAATTTGAACTATTCAAAGGAAACATCAAGGTTATAAATACAAAATTCAAAATTAAAACTATTTAATTAATTTTTTAAGTTATGAACCCAAGAGTTGCACGTTTTCAAATTACTAGGTTTTTAGAATTCAATATTTCATAAATAAGACTTTTTAATTTCCAAAACTTGAGGGCATGTTTTGTAACTCTTGAAAGCCTTTTGATTCCAAACTTGATGTCAAGCTTTGTAATTCCTTTAAAAAAAAAAATTTTGAGTTCCAAAACTTGATGGCAAGTTTTGTAACTCCTTTAAAACATTTAGATCAAATTTTAACCTAATAAATAATCATAATTTTATTTTTTTACCAATTTGACCTAATGCAACTCTTATAGCAAGATAACTTCAAATCAAAGAATTACATACAATTAGCTTATCATATAAACTAGTAATTAGCTCAAGATTTGACAATTTATCTTTTAATTGGATGAGGTTGATCACTACCATATAAGAAAAAAAGATTTTATGATATAAAACAGTTCATGGTAATGATCCTAATCCAATTCTGGCCAAAAAAAACCCAAAAAACTGCAACTAACCTTCAGATACTGGACTCGTCGAGTTTGCTTGATTTGTAGTTGACTCGTCGAGTCAGATCATAGGACTCGTCGAGTCCACTGTCCAGACAGCAGTTTTTCAATTTTTGCAGCTTTGAACAAATAACCAATGCATCTATATAACAGAAAACAACCCATGGCTCTGATACCACTGTTGGGTTTTATGTACTCTAACATCCCTATGGTGCACATACAACCCTAGTGCTTTGGATCTAAGTTTTCTCTACTTATACATGCAACAAAAAAATATCCAAAGCATGAAACCTATAAATAGCATACAACTTGATATTTGAAATATAAAACAAGTTAGACAATTACCTCTTTGTTGTAGCTTGCATAGTTTTGGCCTTTCAAGAGCTTAGTGCCTCAAATGTAGCACCTCCTATGGAATCACAACACACCATGAAAAAATGGAGGACTTTGAGAGAGAGGTTAGACACACCAAAAACGGCTATACTCTTCATGGAATACACTTGTACCAATTTTAGATTTTAGGGAATACATATATATATATATATATATATATATATATATATATATATATATAGTGTAGAATTCCAAGAGTCATATGTAAACCCTAATTCTTACACTTTGGCTTATGATCCAATAACTCATATGGACTAACTCTTCATGGAATCTCACATAAACTTAGTCCATTATGGATCAATAGCCCAAACCACATATATCACTGGTTTACATAACTCATATGGACTAACTCTTCATGGAATCTCACATAAACTTAGTCCATTATGGATCAATAGCCCAAACCATATGTATCATTGGTTTACATAATCAGTCCCCATTAATTTAATTAGTCTCTTTTGATCACTAAATTAATTCGAAATTAATTCTTGATCAATACTAATTAAATAATCTGATCTCTCAATTAATATATTATACTTATAATATATTAATAAATCACAAATAACCTCTTTCTCAAATATTCATCCTATCAAATTGCCCTGATAAATGCAACCTAAAATGACCATGCTACTCTCGGGTCAAATACATACCAGTTACAGTTATGGACTTAGACACCTAATCCAACATAATTATCATTAGTAATCATAAAATAGACGGCAGTATAGCTGTTGAATTCATCAATGTTGTATAGAAAAGAGAAATACTCTTCTCTAAAAAGTCTGTTTAGGAAATCGCCCATTGAAATCCTTCTAATAGGTACAGAAGACATCCATAAACTGCATCCTCTTCTGATAACTCATTAAGTGAATGTTTCAACACTGTCATAACATCGTCTAATTTGACCTATAAGTTCCTAAGGACCATAGGAAAGACATGGGAACGGAAGGCGGCACCGGATGCAAAAACAGGAAAATAGTCACCAAAGTCGAAGCTGGTGATGAGACAAAATTCTTTCTTCCCGAAAGACAGCTCGTAACTCCCAATCTCAAAAACCATTTCCTGTACTTGGCTTCGGGGGTCGATGACAACTTCGTGGAAAAACACGTAATGTAGAAGTAAAGGACCCCCTTATACATTAGGAATGTCTAACCTCCTCCGAAAACATGTATTCCAGAAGATAGTCTCGTATTGGGGTCTATCCTTAAATGCCGGAAGAATTTACTCGCTAATTTTGGGTTTACATGAGAGTGCAATTGATGCATCAAAAACCATGTCGTGCTACACAAATAAAAATGTGTTATCACTTCATTCCGAAACGGAAATGACCAATATTCCGGACCAGTTCTGCACCATTTCCTCATGTTCCAGATGAATTCATCGTGTTGTGGAACAGTTAATCGTGCTCGGGAGGCTTCCGGATTGAACTTTTACGATCTTAAAAACAACATTTCGATGTAAATCAACAATACCTAAACATCTAAACTACTTTTAAGTTGGTCCTACAATATTGGCTTCTTTAATTTAAACTTTGGAACACTTCCCAAACTAAAATCCAAAATTCATAAAAAGCTCGAACTTCCACGTAACGGTTATACCCTTGGGCTTCAAATCATAAACTGAACTCCTGGATCATCTAAACTACATTATCCACATCAAAAGGGTCTAAATCTCTCTTTCCCAAAGGCCCTAAGCCTTATGATACCCGATCCTCGGGTCACGGCCCCGAATTAGGAAACGATTCGGAAAAGGGTGTTACACAGTGATATCAGAGCCTTGAAATTTCAAATTAATGGTACATAATAGATGAAATCGAAACAAACAAAAAAAATCAACAATATGTTTCTCCACGATGTGGCAAGTCTTCTACCACGACGTGAGATCTGTATGGAATTCAAATTTTGGTATTTTCTTTTCTTATTCAAAAGATAAAATAACTATTATTTAATCCATTTTATTTTAAGTATCTAAAATCTGAATACATTAACTAGATAACCGAGAGTCCTAATTTGAACTTCAAAGGAAGATTAAATAAGATAATTATCTTCTATGCATATATCATAATAAATAAGAAAACAAACTTGGTTTCACAACTTAATAGCACTTAAAACTAACATTAAGAAAAGTTAACAACAAAAGAGAGATTAAAACATTGAATTCACATCTTAAAAAAAGGAAAAACAATCAAAATAAAAATTGACATAAATAGATGGAGACGAGTTGACGGTGTTTCACCGGAGCGATGAGGCAACAACAACGATGGGGGTTGACAACGACATCAGATCTGGTACATCAATCTCTTCAGGATTAATAGATTTAGAGGCATAAATAGTAGAACATAGATCTAGAGGCGTAAACAGTAGATTTTTTGCCGAAGATCGTAGATCTATAGCCATATATTATAGATCTGCACCAGAGCACTTCAGATTTGATAGCGTCATAAATGAAGTTGTAGGTCTAGGTTTTCGTCTAAGTTTCTTGAACAAGGGACCGGGCAATAAAATTAGCGATTTTCAGGAGCTTCTTTGAAGAAGTTGAAGTCGCCGAAGAAGGTAACGTCCCTGGATTTAACATGTTGTCGCAATAAAATTGTCGTCTAAGCTTGCATTAATGAGTAATAGATCAGACTAAGACATGGAGAAGATAAAAAAAAAGTAAAGAGCTATGACACTGTCAGCATCGGTGCCGATTTCGATTCTGGCGAGGCGGAGGTGGGGCGGACATCAACGGCGACAAGAGGTGGTGTTAAGGTTGTGTTGGTGGGAGAGTTTGAGAGTGACTGATTGTATCAGATCTAATAAATCTTATATAAATGAAAAAGTGTTGGAATTTTGATCTAAATGTTAGGTTGTAAAGTTAAAGGTCTCAAAATGGCAATTTTTCCCTTATTGGTATAAAATCTTACAAAAGAAATAAACACCTAGAATTGACAAATATACCCTTAATAATATGATTCCTAAAGTTCGTAATCTTTTTTTGGTTCTCATTTAATCATATATATATATATATATATATATATATATATATATATATATATATATATATATATATATATATATATATATATATTAGGTTTGAGATTCATTAATACATTAATTTATTAAAAATAAAAATTTAATATAAAGTTGTAAGCATTACGAATTTTTTAAAGTAACAATTTTACATAAATACAAAAGATATAGTGAATTAAACAAGTAATTAAGTATATTCTAGGAGATTTGAAACAGAAAAAAAAATATAAAACATTATTCTGAAATTTAATATAAAGATCGCTTACATATATAAACCCTTAATAAAATATGGATTTTAAATTTAACAAAAATTGAAAAATGAAAGAAAATGACAAGTGGAATAGAAATAATTCAAAAAATCCTAAAGATGACATGTATCAAATTTAATGAGAACATCATATTTAACAAAAATAATTTTTATTTGTTAGGTTAAAAGATATATATATATATATATATATATATATATATATATATATATATATATAATTTGTGATGTTAAGAAAAAACGAAAGAATTAAAACAAGGCATTGAAAACGATAAATTTTTGGACATAAGAGTTCAAAGATCTCTTATTTTACAATACATAATAAGTGCATACTTCCATCGAAAGAAGACACACTAATTATTTGTTTTACATATAAGCACGACATAATGCATAATTGCGTTGTGAAACATCTTTTTAGTATATGACTGAAAAGATGGTTCTTTCTCGGTGTTCCGATTAGTTTTGAGTTTGTTTGTAAGCAGTTGCCTCTGCAAACGTCTTGCAACACTTGCACCCTCCTTTAACGTGGTAAGATTTACCAGTACAACAACCATGCCTGCAACCTTTATGTCCAGCATCATATTTACCCTTACCAGGTTTGTCATGACTTCCAATTCCACGGCCTATGATGTGTTCTCCATGTCCACCGGCCTTATACTCACCTACAGCATTAAGTGTAAATTAACTTGCAAGATTTATACGTTTTTTAAATATAAAACACGTAAGAGAGAAAATTTATTTACTGTCAGTGTTTTCAGCCAATTCCGTAGCTGCAGCCACTTCAGAGGTAATGAGAAGGACAACAGCAAAAGCTAGAGTAGGAAGAAGGAAAGCCCTTGGAGCCATTTTCACCTGTTTATACAAAATGAAATATATGGAAGAGGGATGTGAAAATAAGTTTGTTACACGTATCTATTTATAGAAGGTTTTATGAATGATAAAATTATTGCTATGTCCTACTCCTTTTAGTGGGTGGGTGGTTAGGATTGGGGCTAAGATTAGGATACTACCTTTTTTTTTTTTTCTGCATGTGCTTGAATTTTATCACTTCTTTTTTAACAACAAGCAAGAAATATATTAAAAAGAAGCTTAAGGAGCAGCTCGAGGTACATGAATTACACGTAAACCCAATTATGGTCCATACACTAATCAAACCAATTAAATGCCTCAGCTTTACAAGCATGATTCTTAATCCAAAAAAATCATGAAATTACACCTCATTAGCAAAATCCTTGCAGCTTTTAAATGTGTTATTGAATTTTATCATTGGTTTATTTTGTACTTCAAAATTATTACGAATAAAAAAAGCTGCCGACGAAACAAGGAAGAATAATACATAAATATCGAAATACACTTATTAGAGGTCAACTTAATGTCATAAAAAGGTTACACTATAAACTCATCCATGTTATCCATAAACTTTTGAGTCTAACTTATTTATATATATTTTAACATATAATTTTACATTAATTAGTAAAAAATACATAAATAACAAATTATATGTATATTAATTTGCAACTTTTAAGTCTGTGATTCATGTTCATTTGGTTTTACTTTTTCCTATCATATTATAGTTTATTAAGCACTAGGTGTGAGACTCATGTATTACATGGGTTAATTAAAAAAAATTAAATATCAAAATTTAAACATTAAGTATTTTTTAAAATTAAATTTTAAAATAAGGAAGGAAAAAACATATTTATTGCAATTTAACATTATATTTATTACATTTAATACTTTACTTATATAGCTATATGTATTATGTGGCTTTTTAATTTTAAAAATTAAAAAAACCTAGAAATTGACATGTGGATATGATTTATTTCAAAAATACCACAAAATGACAAGTGTCAAAACTTATGAGAGATTGACATGTGGCAAAATGAATCTTCATTTATTAGAGTAGATTTGATACAAAATACAATAACCTTATGGTTGAAAATAACAATTTTGATTCTTCTTTTAACAAAATTTTATATTTACACTCTTTTGCCTCAATGCTTTTTAATTAATGCTTTTTAATTAATAGTTTTCCTCCCTAATTATATTATTGGTTAATTATTACTATAAAGTTATATTATTGGTATTTTGTAAGTGACGTTTCTGGCCCTTATTATATTTTAAAGATACATTTTTTGTCCCTTAAAAAATTTGGTTTTTTAGTTTTTCTTTTCATTAATATTAATTTTTTATTAATTGTTATTTGTAGTATTATACCAAATATAATATATTTTCAAATTTTATTTTTCCCGCCTCCACCATACATAATTGTTAAGATAAAAACATTATTTTTATACGTTTATGGTCTAATTTGCAAAGAAGTTCTCTGATGCAACGCAAAGCATTGTTAAATACTAGTTTTATTTTATATACTACAACAATTTCAATAATATGACAACAATGAAGTAATAGAAAAATGAAAACCAACGACAACTTATAATATGTGATGAAAAAAAATTTAAATTTCTTATTAAAAGCTTAGTAAAAATTACTATAAACTAAAATAAAACTAACATTAATAATATATAACATTGTTCTTATTTTAAATCGTAGTGTAATATTTTATTTTACTTTTTGGTAATTATTTTTTTTATATTAATCAAACTAGGTTTGAGATCCATATATTATACAGATTAATTAATATATAAAATGACATTTAAAAAAAATTAATAACCACAAACTAACATATGTGACAAAATGTAACATCCCAAAAATTACAATAAATTTAAACTTTTGAAAACATTTATATTTATAATAAAAACTATTAAATCCTTTAATTAACAAAAAATGTTAAGTTTCAAGTATTCAAATAACATTTCAAAGTCAAAACATACTTTCAACAATATTAATTCATTTATAATTCAAAACAACAACGGAAACCTAATATTCTTTAAATCCCATATCAAGAGTCTGTGACAAGGACCCAATCTTCAACCGCGCCAGTGTACAGTCAAGCTAAACCATCATTCGTACCTGATGTACCTATAATAATTATTTTATAAAGGAAATGGTAAGCACGAAACTTAATGGATTCCAACACAACATAACAATAGAAGTATTACACCCTACTCCTATATCACATGCCATAAACAAATATGCAAACATCAATACGATATATAAACATTAAGATCATACATCTTGTGTCTATTTAGGAACACATCCGAAACAACACCCAAATAAGGACTCGGTATTCAGCCGTCGAATCCACACACTTAGTGTTTCCGCCTTCGGCCCCCTGACTTGGCACAATTGCATTCGGTCAGTCGGCTCGGTATTCAACCGTCAAGCCCAAACATGTCATGCATATACATTCCACATAACAGATAAGAACATCAAACATAGCTCATGAAACAAGTATTACTTTAACTATCAATCATATAGTTCCTAGTCTCACCCAACATAATAGTAAGCATATAATCCCATATAGTTATGAAGTGAGGAACTCACCTCCAATGATCAAACACCCTTCAAGTAGCCCAAGACACCCTTTACACCAGTTCAACCTTCAACCTTCCTTATAAAGGAAAAATATAGTTAAGGTATGGTTATTTGATACCCCAAAAATACAAATGGCTCATGGGTTAATTTTTCTAGATTTTTACCTAGAAGTTATGGTCTATTCGGGACCTTTTTTTCCCTCCTTAAGCACCTTATTTTTTAAAACTGTTCTACATGAATGAATTTTAGGTCCTTAGCTTTAAAATTAGTATTCACACACCTCTGTACGATTATCTACAATTTTTGGTGATTTTTACAAAACTTTCTCGCAAAACATTTCATTACGGACCAGTGTGGGTAAATGGTCGATTTCACCATAGTTATGGGCGTTTCTGGATTTCGGTCAAAACTAATGAAATGTAGAGGACTCAAAAATGAAACTCTCGGCTTTGTTTTCGACTAAAATTGGTTTTCCATGACCGAGACATATCATTTCAAATTTCTGGACAGATTAAGGAAAAATCTTGAAGTCACAGCTTTGACTTTTTAGGGTTAATTTTACATTTTAATCAATAAAGTTATTAAGAACATGGTTTCAAAGCTAGAAATCAATTGCTTCATATAGGCTACTATGTAATGGAGCAAAATGACATGTAGCATGAAGTGTTTAACTCAAAATCCAATGTCTTTTTTGAGAAAAACAAAGTATGATGCTTATTTGAGAAAGATAGCTAGTTAGGGCTATTTTTCTTCCATTCCAAGGCTTGTTATGAGAGAAAGCACACCACTCACTACTATCCAAGCCTGAAATTAGATGATGCAGCCATGGTTTCCCTAGAATGAAAGAAAAACGAGTAGAGGAAGGAGGAAGAAAGAAGAAAAGAGAAAAGAAGAAGATGAAATCTTTGAATGCGATCCTAGTTGCACTTCTTTCACTTGAACCCTGCTTCCTTGAGTCAAAGAGCCATGATTGATCCCCTTCTTTCTCATTAAGCAGCCCCTCAAAAAAAATTGTTCTCTCCCACACAACACAACGTACAAAAACTTCACTTACATTAGGTTTTTAATCTAAAACACATTTCACACCAAGGATTAAAGGGAGACGGCCGATTAATTGAGGATTGGGCTGTAACATCATGAAGTCTTGTATGTTACTTGGTGTTTTACATGTAAAATCCAAAATTACAGTAATGGTCCCTCAAGCTCTCTAATAAAGACATTATTTACCCCAAAACAATTTCTTTTGCACCAGTAAGTTTCAAAGTTGACAATTTCAATCCTTTCTTTAGAAATAAGTTACACAATCTCTAAAAACTCACTCCACAATTATATGATTATTATTATTATTATTATTATTATTATTATTATTATTATTATTATCATTATTATTATTTATATTTTAAAAGAAAAACGAATATCGGAAAACAAGGTGTTACATCTAGCGGGCAGGTAAGCTGCACCTGATCCTGCATCGATTGGGAAGGAGAAATAAGCATTCCTTATAACGGATGTGGATACCTTCTCTGTCACAACGCGTTTTAAAGTTGTAAGGAAAGCAGATTACATAAGAACTCTACAGTTAAGCATGCCCGAGTGAGAGCAATCCAGGGATGGGTGACCCCCTTAAAAGTATTCGTATCGGGAGCCTAAAGCGGACATTATTGTGATACGTGCCAGAGGGGGTGTTGAAAATGGTTTCAGAGCCAGGGCACGGGTTGATGTGTTCGATGGGGACGTTGAAACCTATAATGGGGGGTGAAGGCGGGCAGGTAAGTTGCACTTGATCCTACATGGACTGGGAATGAGAATTAAGCATTCCTTATAAGGGATGTGGATACCTTCTCTGTCACAATGCGTTTTAAAGTCGTGAGGGCAGCAGATCGCACAAGAACTCTACAGTTAAGCGTGTCCAGGCAAGAGGAATCCAGGGATGGCTGACCCCCTGAGAAGTTTTCGTGTCAGAAGCCCAAAGCGGACAATATTGTGATACGTGTTAGAGGGGGTGTTACACAAAATAAATGAGAGTGTAACATATGAAAAAAAATGTGTTATTTATTAGGGTATATATATATATATATATATATATATATATATATATATATATATATTAAGCTCGAAAATCTATATAGAGTTTTAACTTTTTATGTTTAACAAAACATTGAAATTTTACGGTTATTTGTGAAATTTATTAAAAAAAATATCATTTTATAATATCTATTATGAAGAAATGTTATTTTAGAATTTCTTGTTTGAAAACGACAAATATTATGAAAGCTAAACTTAACATGATATTCTTATATAAATAATTGGATTTGCCTCTTAATTTTAAAAAAAGAAAATGTGTCCAAAGAAAGCAAGCACTAAAAGATTACAACAAAATAGATATTGATGAACTAAAAAAATTAAAGAAATAATAGTTAAAAACACATTTTATTAAAACCATAAAACCACTT